TTTTGGACAGTACTGTTGGGTTGCAAGTTGTTCATGTGAAGTGCTTTTGGTGTTGCTATATTACTGCAATGGGGATAATACTGTATTACCAAAATTAAGGAAAAAAAAATATTAAGGATGACCTTTTCTTCTAGAATTAGGCCTTTCCTCCTTTGAAGTAATAAATCTTTGTGTAATAAAAACAGACAAAGAATCCCTTCCTCCAAATATTTTTAAAAGCATCTCCATTACTTCTGCAACACATAAACCTACCAACTAGTTGGTTAAAAGACAGATACAGTAATTGTCAAAAAAAGTAAGACTTCAGTTTTGAGACCATTATTTTAAAATTAATCAGCACTTGCTAAATGCAGGGTCGTACTTACTAAGTGTTGCTATCCACGATTGTACTGGAGACACTGTAAAGGATCTAAAAATATATTGGAAAGAGAAAGTTACTGCAAAGTTTATTCATCTACATGTTCTGCAGGCAAATTAGTAAATTCCTTCAAGTCCTCACCTGGGCACTTTGCAGAGGCCTGATATCTAACTGAGTCATCACTGTGTTTTTCCCAATCACCACTGTCTTATGCAAGACTTCAATATCAAGTTGAGCCACGTGCACAGGGTAAAAGTTGTTGTTTGTCACATTTAATATATTCTAGAGAGAAAGATGGATAAGTGGTGAGGAAAAAGTGATAAACTGGCAGCATACTGTGTGAATTCATAAAATTTCCCATTAAGAGGCTCCTGCTGCTGCTACTTTTTAAGAGACAATACAAAACATGAGCATCGTTTGGTTTCCAGGGTTGTGCAGAGTTTCAGATTTAATTCCAAAGCGCACAGGCCCACAAACATAGCCCCTATCTGCAGCTCTTTTCCCAAGATCACGCAAGCACCTTTCTGAAATCAGATCCAAACTGCTGTGCAGCCCTAATGGCTCCAGTCTTAAAGAGCCTAGCATCTATACCAGTGTTTCTCAACCTTGGCAATTTTAAGATACGTAGACTTCAATTTCCACAATTCTCCAGCCAGCCATGCTGGCTGGGGAATTCTAGGAGTTGAAGTCCACACATCTTAAAGTTTCCAAGATTGAGAAACACTGATCTATACAAAGGATAGCTGTTTACTTTTATTGGGGTGAGTGACCGAATGCAAAAGGAAAGATGACGATGACTGTGTGCAACGGTGGCCCTGGATGTTCTATATAGGGATTTTTTTCTTCCTAGCAATTTCCTGCAGGTGCAGGGTCCAGTTTTTTGGATCAACTGAACTATTGGTTGCAACAGGAATTTACCGACTGGCTTGTTACCAGAGCCTGATGTCATGCACTGAGAGTGAGTCACTGGCCAAAAGTCACCCAGCAGCTTTCATGCCTAAGGCGGGACCAGAACGCAGAGCCTCCTGGTTTCTAGCATGGCGCCTTAACCACTAGACCAAACTGGCTCTCTGTCTTCTATACGGGGATGACCCGCTATATATAACTCACTAAATTTGACTTTTAAGAGTCATAGGAACCAGCTTTACTAGCATACAAAACTCTGTTCAGAACATGGAATTGACATATTCCTATATTTGGCCTATGAAGGGCAATTGCTAAGAATTACTATGACACTATTCCAACCCGTGGAGCTTTATCAGGGGGAGTGTAGAAAAGCTTGTGGATTCCCTGCTTCCTTTAGGTACAAACCAACACTAACCAAACTAAATTAAGAACAGCTTCCCTCTAATCAATTTTATTTTGGCCATGAAACGAAGGCTGATGGGAGAGAAGACTGTTCATGGCATGCTGCTTGATTCATTCCAAGTTCTTCAGCATGTTCATTTGCATGCAGCAGTTCTACACATGACATAATATTGTGCTTATTTATTGGTAGGATACTGCTGCTTTGAAAGTTTGCCTCCAACATATATGTTTCTTCATAAGTTTGGGTGTGGTATGCTGCTCAGATGCTGAATGTGCTGTACTGATATGTCTGTGCAGAGACATATGACAATGAGATGAAGGGAGAAAAGAAAGCTTATGTAAGTATATGTGAATTGCCCTTTCAGCTTTGCTCATTTGCTCTTGTGTTCCCTTGTATAACTACAGTTTAAATGGTAAACCACATTGTGAAGTTGTTGAAAGCCACTGACTCAACTTTAGCACACATGCACCATGAAATCAAAGGAAAATGAGCTATACAGCCACTCTTCATTTAACAGCTACCTCATTTAGCAACTGTTCACAAATATAAGGTAATAAAAAAAAATTCTGACCAATGTGCACACTTACGACCAAATTTCTGCACCTGATAACAACGTAAGCCAGAGTGAGAGTAATGCTGGCATTGCTGCCTGAGAGAACTTTATCTAAATGAGATGGCAGCAACCAGTGATCTTTGCAGCATCTCTCTCTCTTAGTCATGTGTTCACTTAGCGACCATTTTGCTTCTGATTTAAGGAACGGATTGCGGTCGCTAAACAAGGAGAGAGTGTATATTGTATGCTTACTACACTACTTAAACTATTGAACAAACTAAAAAGACAAGAATACGATGCTGATAATTGAAAATACTCTGAACAAGTTCAATGTCTTCCTTCTTCCCCAAAAGAAAAAGATGAATTTAATGTACTGAACTTTCTTTTATTTTCTTAAAAGATATTCTTGGATTCTATATTTTCATCAGATACAGGCAACTTAAAGCTCTTCAGATGTTTTAGGCTACAGTTTTCTAATATCTGATCAACAGGCCATGCTGGCTTAGGATGATGGGAGTCATAGTCTGCAATGTCTGAACAGTATCATCTTGGCTACCACATGTAAGAATTAAATTGAGATTTGCTATGGGTGAATACATTTCTATGCATTCTGGCACATTATCTTAGACTCCATTATATAATGGACTACTCAAAAGATCTACTTGCTAAAAAAGTACTACTGTTCAAGGCTGAAAAAATAATAATTTGAATTGCCGCTTGCTAATTCATAATTTTTTAAACTTTCATATGTCATTGATTGTAATACAAATTCTGAGCAAACCTTTAGATTTTTCTTTAGTCAGAAGGTTTACTGCAATGACCTATAAGCTCAACAAATAAATATTAAAATCTTTATTCATGCCCTAGCCCTTCCAAGTTAGCAAATTCTTGGTGGATTATCAACCATATTTTTACTTTATTGTGCCATGCAAAATATCTCCTGGAACGGTACCATCAAGAACCACACAAATTACTTCTTTAAAATTGAGTTATCTGAGTTTTTTTCCCCCTTTATAATTCATTTCTTGGGTCATATAGGCTGGGTTCAGACACTGCACTAGGTCATTTGTTTAACTGTAGCTTAAAAAACTTGCTTCACAAAAAACAAACAAGCTATATTAATCCATAATGTATTAACCAGTCACAAAGTTTCTAAGCTGAAACTTAGGATAAAATAAGCATTGAAAAAAAGAGACAATGTGGCTGGACACAATCTTTTTGTGACTTGTACTATGATACATATTGTTCCTTCTCTCTGAATGCTATAGGTTCATAGGTTTCAGCTTTTAGTTAAAGGGAAACTGAACCATGCTCACACAAGCCCAGTTGAATGCTAGGGCTGGGCCAAAAGAAGAAGGAGAGAGAGAGAGAGAGAAAGTGAGAGGGGCTAAACCTAATTCCTCTTAATCTCATTTAGTCATCCGCTCTTTTGTTTTAAAAGATTAATACTTACTTTGGGGGCAAAATTCATCCCAATAGCTACTCTTATCTGCCGGGTTAGGGTTAGTCTAGTCAACACAGTCTTGAAATATATCTTCTGACAAAAATGGCCTCTGAGCTTACTCACTAGGCTTTCCCTGAAAAATGAGCAACTACATGCTGTAGAAACTGGACTTGAGAGAGGCTTCCAGATCAGAAATGACATGTTTTTCAGCTTGTGGCCCTGCAATATCCTCTCCCTGGTTCTTAAAGCCACAACACAAATTACATTCAATCTCAGATGAATAAAAAAAGATTCATAACATGAACCTGGTCCAGGTCTTTCCCCATCTCCTGTCACTCTACTCCCTTGAACTTACAGTCATATTGAGGATGATGCTAGAAGTATAATTGTCAAAAGAAATGGAGGAGGCATTGAGGCCAGAGGGGAGCACCGCAATTGACCGTGGGAACAGGAAGTACATCATGAGACACGTCATCAGCAGGCAAATGGCTACTGTGAGAAACACATACAGCTTCCTGCCAAAACAGATCATAGGCAGTTAGTGGTAGCAGAATTCCCACCCACCTCAACACACACAACAATCGTGACTGACATTGTCTAGGGAGTGGGGATAACTCCGCTAGGAAGAGGCAGCAGGAAAATAATGAGAAGAAATTTGATCAGCATAAAAAGACCGTGCTTACGTCCGTCTTGGCTTCAGCCGCTGGTCTCCATATGGAATGAGGGCCACCAGCTGTTGCTCCTGCTCTAGGAGGAGGATAGTGGAAGAGAGAAAATCAGGGAATAGTTTGGAAAAGCAAGCCCTTAGGAAAGCTCAAAACTGCCAGAACACTGAACCTGTCAGTTTAATAAAAGTCTCCCTATAAGCAAAACATAATGTGTAGTTCTGGCCGCTTTCATTGCAAAGAAAATACACCAGAACTATCTGTCTGTCTGAATGCAGCAATCTTAACCAGGCTGAAGCAGCTCTACAGACCAATGCTATTAAGCCCTGTTAATGTGCCTCTTGGTTAACCAATATAGAAAACAGGAGGGGGCCTTACTTGACTCTAGACCTGACCCAACAAGGCCAGAGAAGAGCACCTCAGCAAAACAAGTCTGGGAAATACACCTACCTCGGGGGATTCTTCCAGTGCCCTGGCAAGTAGGACAAGTGACAGAACCTCGATTGGTGTGGTTGCCACAAGGAACACAAGAGACCTCAGCAGCATCTGCTCCGTTAATGCTGGCATAACAGGATGCTTCATTCTCAGCATATACATTTTTCTGCACAATCGACTTGCTTTCTTCGGTCTCCTTTCTGGTGAACAGATTCTTGAACCACAAGAGGGCTTGATCCATTGCTCACAGACACTGTCTCACTGGTGCAAGCAAGCAGCATTAACACATCAGAACACAAAAAGGGCTTTCGATTCTAAAAGGCAGCACTTTATTCCTGAAGTGAAAGATTCTAGGGCTCAGGCAGATTTGAAAAACATTTAAAATCAGTGATTTCTCCAGCAATACCTTTCCTCTCTAAAGCTCCCACCCCCACCCCGAGAATTCACTGCATCCAAGCATGTGATGCTGAGCCGCTGATAATGCTGCTTCTTTATGGTCTTTTCAGCTAACTGCGGAATTTCATTAATACATAAGCTTCATCCTGCCTGAGTTTATCAATCTGTGGAATATCAGAACCCAATGCTAGAATATTAGGTCATCTGATTCAGTCCTGCTGCTGGGACTGGCCATGGCACATAGATGTTTTAAGACCAAGACAAATAATCTTGGTTTCAAGAGCAGAAGCACTTTGAAAGATGGAGAACTGCCCATTTAGTATTCAATCGTTTTTCACCAATGAAACACTTTAATGTATTTATTTACACAACATTTATATCTTGTCTTTTTTACAGGAGCTTAAGGCAGTGTATATAGTGTCCCCTCCTCCTATTTTTCCCCACAACACTAACCATGTGAGGTAGGTTGGGCTGAGAGAAAGTGACTGGCCCAAAGTTACCCAGTGGCCTTCTGGACTGAGGGTTGGTTGTACTGATGAAAGCTAGCAATAGCTCAAAAGAAATGAAGGGGCACTTCCCTTGAACCATTTGGACTCTCCTCTAAAAATGAGTATTCATCTCCAGTCTTAAGACTGGTCTCAGATTTGCTATACATTAATGGGAGAAAAGAGAGCAGTTTGGCGTAGTGGTTAAGGCACCAGGCTAGAAACTGGGAGACCGTGAGTTCTAGTCCCATCTTAGGCACAAAGCCAACTGGGTGACCTTGGGCCAGTCACTCTCTCTCAACCCTAGAAAGAAGGCAATGGCAAACCACTTCTGAAATCTTGCCAAGAAAACTGCAGTCACCAGGAGTCAACATGGACCAAAGGCACACACACATACACACACACAAAAGGGGGGGGGGGACCTGAGTTTTCCAGAGAAGGTTCTTTTATCATTATTTAAAAACAAAACAAAACTGTGAGACCACATATATTATGCTGTAAGGTTTTCAAGTACTGTTATTTTAAAGACTGTACTTCTTTCAACAGTTATGTTAGAAGGCAGGGATCTGGCTTCTTGGGAAAATCTTCCTGGGCAGAACTTAAGTGAGCACGGCACCTACCTGACAGAAAGGAAACACAGATCTCAGGATCACTCCTAAAGATTCCAGCTCAGGCTAAGCATCAGAAGAGAGTATTAGGACAGTTTGTAGCAATTGCTAAAGATAAGGATCCCAGCCGTTGTTGGATATCCCAATTTGCTCTATGAAGATTGGTTCCTTAACTACGCCATACTTTGAAGAAACAAGGTTGAGAAGAGAGTGGGAAAAGGGAGAAAAAGGATATTGTAATTGGATTATACACATAATACTGTAAAACATTTCCCAAACCTTTAGAAAAGACATTTCTGCTAGATAGGATAACAACATTTTAGTTCTTCCACCTGTACTCAGAGAAATGGTGAACTACCACCACAGCAGAAAGAAAGCTGCAGGTGAGCATGTCTCTAGCAAATACTTCTTCTACCTCAAATGTAACTACAACAAACTTAAAACAAAACTCCTGTTTTAAGAGGCCTTTCCATTTATGGCTTCTTTTCTGAATCTTTTCTGAATACCCCCCTTTGCAAAAACAATCCCTTTCAATTAAATATAGCAAGTTCTTTTCAAAGATGCAAGCTTCACTGATGTCCAGAACAGGCATTCCTTATCTGAATATGGTGTAATGGATCGCACCATCCTGCCGTATCTGTGGCTGGCAATTTTTCTGGAAAAATGATAGATTCCTAGGATAAAGCCAATATTCAAAGGAAAATGATTTTCTACTACCTAAGAGGGCTATTCATTCTGAAGGGTCAATCCTTTACAAGCTTGGATAGAATTTGGCTTGACTAATTTTTGGGCTTTTTAGTTTTTGTATTATCTCATCCGACAAAGAGTTTTGGAGAATTTGAAATTTGTACACTATTTTGTGTTATTTTGGTTGATCCTAAATTTAAGTTTTATTTATTAGATTTGTATGGCCCCCCATCTTAAACATAACTCTGGGTGGCTCACAACAATAAAAAATTATCTAGCTAAGGTTTTGTCTTAGAATTCCTCTTCTATCTCTCAGTATTTTATGAAGCGCAGTAAATAATTGATTCTGTTCCCTCTGTTATCATTTGTGACTCTGCTTGAAACAGCTCAGCTGTATATTCAAAATAAAACAATGACCATATTCTGTGCAAGCCTGGTCAGCTCACCTTTGTTTAAGGCCATTTAGAAATACAGACTACATATCTAATAAGTGCTCTAAACAATATTGTTTTGACCAACCTCATTAACATATACATTAAGTTCAAAATATTAGCAGGTTACAATACTGTGAAAAGCTTCAACTACTGATTCCATCCAATCGCTACAGAAAGGGCAGGAGGCGGCCAGCTGGCAAACAGCAGAGCGTGTGTACCAACAATTAGGGGGGGGGAGAAAACAAGGAACAAAGACTGTGTTTACACAACATACGTACGTACTGCAGTTAATGATCTTTCCATTAACCCCATTTTTAGGTTTTGTACAACACATTGGACTATAAATTAATTGCGAGAATTGTATATGCACAACACCTAGGCTTAAATGTGTAGTCTGCGGGTCAACATGTCCTGCAAATACAGCAGGTGTCTGAGCCTTGCCGGAAACGTTGCTAAAAACAGTGGCTGACAGATTGCTATCTGGGATGTGGCTGATGGACTGTAGCTATCTGAAGCGAATGTTGCCCTCTCATGCCATTATTCAGTCCGCAAATTGTACAAATTAATGAATTCACTTCACACGGCACAGCACCCCTGCCCCCTCGCTGGCTCCTTCCAAGCAAATACGAAAAGCAGCCAAGTTCTCTTCTTCTTCCAGCAGGGCATTATTTTGGTTAGCATAATGGTGTTGAACGTCAAGCCACTCTACTCCAAAACACCAGATGTCAAGCAGCAGCACTGGTCTAAAAGAAGTGGGGAAGGAAGTCGGTGGGAAGTACGGCAAGACGTTTTTGAAGCCTCATAACGGCCCAGCAAAAGGTTTCATGTCATTCGCATGATGCAAGGAAAGAAAGAAAAAGAAAGAAGAAAGACCACCGAAGAAACAGGAAATGGAGAAGAGCTAAATTTAAAAGAAGTAGGAGAAAGCGAGGATGAAAAGAACGGAAGATTAACGCGGGCGGCGGCGGCGGCGGCGGGCGGGGAGAACGGCGCAATCTGGTTTGGAGGGCCGGGAGGAGACGAGGGTCGTATCTGGCTCATTACAGAGATTTCTGGAGGCCTTCAGGAGGGCAACCTGCTCACCGTATCCCGCCGAGGACAGAGAGGAGACGGGCGCTAGATCCTTAGGGCTCCCCAGCCAACGGTGGACGCGAAGCAGAATCGAAAATAAAGCGTAGCGTAATGGTGCCAGCCTTCCTCCCGTCGCACGACTCCCACCCTCCTGCGAGAGGTGGGAAATAGGCAGCTCCACCCTCGGCCGCCACTTCCCTCCTTCGAAGCGCCTTTTTTAGCCGTTTCGTTACCGTGCATTTTTTCCCCAAGACGCTGCAATGATCAAAGTCCGCATTTTTTTCTCCGGGAATGGGAGGTGCCAAAGTTAAACACTGACTGGAAAACACACGGACCTTGTGGCTTACAACTTGATCCTTCACACGCGTTTATTCGAGACTGAAAGTGCTCTGGGAAGTACTCCAGAGTGAGCATCGCTGGGGATTGGAGCCTTGCAATAGCTCGAACCGGTGCAAAATTGCACGGAGGCAAAGTCCGTTAAAACAGCAGCACTTCCTACCAAAGAAGGGCGCCCAAACCTGCAGCTTTACCAACCCAGCCCCACCCACGCGCGGCAAGCCCACGCCGACCTCTGCCGCGCAGGCGCAGCGTAATCGACTCGCGCTAAGTGAGAGCGGCTTCGATGTAAATACTCACGGTCACGTGCTTGAGTCTCCCTGATGCGTTTCACGTGGTTTGGTCCTTGGAGAAGTGTGAGAGACGATGCTTGTGTAATTGTGACACTCCGCTGAAGAGCGCTTGTGGTTCCGTCGGTTAAACGTTTCGTTCCACGTTTTAACGGGGATCCTTCTCGTGAAGTGTTCCTGAGCTCACTCCGCTTTCACTTCTTCCGTTCGGAGACGCTGGTTCACTTTCACTTTAAATTCAGAATGTAAACCCACTCCGCTCTGTGGATTTTATGTGGTTTTTCAATACGCTCGGTAACTTCCTCGTTCCAGTGTCTACTGCGGTTGTTCTAATCCAGTCTTTCTCAACCTTGGGAACTTTTAAGATGTGTGGACTTCAACTCCCAGAATTTCCAGCCAGCAAGGAGTTGAAGTCCGCGCATCTTAAAGTTCCCAAGATTGAGAAACACTGTTCTAATCACTGGCTGCTCCCACGAGTTTTTTTTAGGAGAAGTTGGAAGATTAGATGTTGCCGAAATCTGCTCCTAAGATCACGGTTTGGGCTCATTAGGTGGGGTAGAACGGTGATGATACCTCCTCGAAACCATTAACTTTGTTTTGTTGTATTGTTTCCATATTGTTTTAGGATCTGAAAGGCACCAAAATAACTTGACCAACCTCAGGCACACTGAATGGGTAAAAGTTATGAACATAAGCACACCTCTAGAGTCCCAAACCAACCTCTGGATGTCCCCCACCGTTAGTATCAGTTTAAAAGGTAGCGACCACATTTGGGAGAACCACTGTTTGGCTCTGCAGGACTCGCACTCACACTCTGCTTTCAGGAACAAATGGTGGCAAGTTATGCCAATACTAGGTCTGGCCTGAAAAAGTCCAGAACACAAGATGGCAGTAGAGGGTTTTCTGA